CCCTGGGGTCCGGTATGCAAACCACAGTCGATTATGTGGGAGTGCAGCAACATAGCCATTACACTAACTGCTGGTTCCCAAGTATAAAAGTATTTTGGAGCTAGCCTGAAAATCCAGATTATTTATTGACCTGACTGCTCTAAATTCTAAATGAACTAATGTAGACGTGAACATTTGAAATGCAGGTACTTCATTAGTTTCCTGTGTTAGGGCAAGAAGAATTGGACTTTCCAATAGTTTTCTAAAATTTCCTTGGAAAAAAAATGCTAATTTCCCCAGTCCATTTCTTTTTTTAATGCTCTGTACAGTATTTTTTTTAAAATGTTATATCACATTTAATCACGTATATCTTTACGGTGTATAGCATTTCTGTTTCCAGCACAATTACCATGCATATCAATCAAGATAAAGACATTACTGTCCACATGATTATCTGCAAATTGCTTTTCATTTTTTTGTCAATTAAGTGTACTTTTTTTTTCTTTTACTTTCCCTATTTCCCTCCATTTCTACCAGGGATATAGTTATGGTTTCCAATGAACAGATTCACTGCTGCATGTGTTCAAACAAGGCTAATTTTATAATAAACCGTGTCAAAAACACAAGCACACTTTGTATGAGATTTTAAAGGAAGTTTATTTTTCTCTAAGTGGCATCTAATTCTTTGCTTCTAACCCTGTCTCTGCCTCCCCAGATTCCCTGGACTCCCTGCATTTCTCCTACATGCATGATGTCTATGAAATAGGCAGAGGTTGACATTTTTATGTCAAATAATTCCTTGGAGTGAAAATGGATAAAGAAGTGTAATTAATAAAGGTGGAAAATTCCCACTCCAACATTTTTCAGCTTAATGATAAGTCTGTGATTCTTATATGAAGGAGTTAAAAGAAAAGTTATCCTAGGTACAGCTTCTTGAATGAGGCAAAAATAGGTTCGGTGGAGTCGCTAGTGTCTTTGTACTCAATGCCTCTAAAAGTCCCAGTGGTGAGGTTTTCAGTTAAAGAAATTCTCAGCCAAAGAGTAGGCTTTGCTGACCCATGAGGAATACAGACCACAGAGAAAATAATGGAGCTGCTATTCCTGCCAGACAACAGCAGCTAATGAGAAACACATTCTAAACGCAGATGCAGTCGATATCAAGACTCAGTCAATAAGCCAATATTACACATTCCGTGTGTTCAAAGCCATTAATGGTGGCCGAAACTACAATGGCAGTGGGACATCCTAATTAACTTTTTATATAATTAAAACATGCATCTTGTGAAGTCAATATGCAAATAAGTCTAAATACTGTATACACAATGATTTTTTTTTTTGAGAGGTTTTTTGCTATAGGGTGCGTACACTCACCAGAAAGACAGAGAGAGACAGAGAGACAGAAAGCGAGAAATCACACACCCCCCAGGGGGGATAGCCACACCACAATCCCTTCTCCTCCCTTCTCCTCTTGGAATCTTGGGCATGCATGCACATGCACCTGGCATGAGTTTAAGCCACCAGTCTGGGACTCGAACCATGGTCGACTACATGGGAGTCCAGCGACATAGCCATTACGCTAACTGCTGGTCCTTATACATAATGATTTTGACTGGGGTTTACAACACCTAAGAAACCAAAATGACATCTTTGGGTTCTCCTTCTTTCTCCAAGTCCTGACATGACAACTTTTCTACCTCTGCATTTTCCAATTTAAAATATTTTATTAAAAATTGAACAAAATTCTACCACTTATGATGTATTCTCTTATTCACAGATAGTTCTGTTTCTTTTTTCTTTTTCTTCTCTTTCTTTATGTTTAACTACTGTGTATCATTACAGCATACCAAATGAATTTTCCCCTCATGAATACGCTGTATATGGGTTCAGCCAAAGAGATGACCATACACACTATCATCAACAGATACACTTCCATTTTTGAAGTTTACTTGTTTATTTCTTCCATGAGTTTGAGACAGACAGACAGACAGACAGCATCCTTAACAGGGTCTTCATCCAATGATCCACCCCCAGCTTCAGGCAGTCCTGGATCCTGGGCATGTGCAAACACGAACCCTGAATCTTCCTCTGTGAGTCAGCCTTACAAGGCATTGCATTACTCCCATGCCACCATCCAGCTCCCTGAGAATCCTCTATCAGGAATTTATCTTTTAATTTCATAATACAGAAGAGTAGCTGTAATAGAAGAGTTACATGGGGTGGGAGGGCCGCAGATGGCATGGTGGTTGTGGCGCTGGCCTCCCACATGGCCAACCACAGTTCAAGACCTGGATCTAGAGCCTTGCTTTCTCATTTCATCATTCCCCCCACCTCATCCTTCGTTGGTCAAATTTAAAATAAATAAATAAAGTTAAATAAAAATCATTCTTTTTTTTAAAAAAAAAAGAAGAGCTACATGGGAAGTGAAAAAGGAGGTGGTTGGCAATATAATATTCCAAGGTAAATGTCTGGATTGGAAGATTCCATATAAATATCACATGGTCCCTTTCAAAACTTTACTCAGACAGGGAATAGAGTCCCTGACATTTACCAAAAGCACAAGAATTTTTCCTGATCTGGCTCAATAGCAAAGCGTGACTTCAGAATATATTTGGGTTCTAATTTACTGAAGGCAAAACTTAGTTTAAAAATTTTTCAAAATGGAAAACCATCAGCAGTTCGTTCTTTGGTGAGGAGACCAGAGGAAATGGATGGAGCCTTGAGACTGGCCCCTACCTGGATTAGTGACTATCACTTTGGCTCCTGGGCCTGGATAAAATGAGGGTGGTAACTACACTTGTCACCACAAAATGTGAGTGTTGCACTTGGAACCCCACGGTGAAGCCTGCAGTAGGACTGGGACGCTCTTAGAATGACATTGCACAATTCCAGCGTGTGGAGCTGTAAAACTGGGGTGAAGACCCATGAAAACGAAAGCCTTTCTAACTCAAAATGAAGGCAGAGTCTTTCAGAGACGTGACAGTAAGCACGGAAATCATTTTCTTTATACGATCTGCATCGGTTTCCCTTACTTCTGGAAGGAGCCTCTAACACCCAGCCTCGTTTGTATTCAAGTCCTCCTTGAACAGTCAACTATTACCCAGAGCATCGTTTTAAATACAGTATAAGACACCATCGTGAGGTTCTAAGAGGTGATGCGTGTGAAATGCTATACCTTCAGAAGCTCTCAACCCCCTGAGTTTTGTTGATCTTTTTTTGGGGAGAGGTTTTTGCTATAGGGCGCATGCGCTCGCCAAACAGACAGAGACATAGAGACAGAAAGCGAGAAGTCATCCCCTAGGGGGATGGCCAGGCCACAATTCTTTCTCCTCCATTCTCCTCTCGCGGGATTTTGGGCACGCCCGCACATGCGCCCCGCGTGAGTTTAAGCCACCGGCTCCGGGACGCGAACCGCAGTCGACTACGTGGGAGTCCAGCGACATAGCCATTACACTAACTGCAGGTCCCCTCAACCCCCTGAGTTTCTAGTTGTACTCCAAACAGGAGTCCATGCCTGGTCTGAGTCCTGCTGTTTCAAAGTGCCTTTGCAAATCTAGATTGGGTCCAAAGCGTGTTTCTCCTTCCCTCTGAAGAGCCTTCTTAAGACCCCTCTAATGATACGTGGAGCCTTCCCCACTCCAGATTGCTGGTGTAATAAATAATTTGGCATTTGGTCCAAACACAGAAATGCATTGCGTGCTTGTTACAAACGGAATTCCAGAGCTCCACTTTTGCTGAGTGGCTACACCAGAACCACTGTGGGTAGGGCCTGTGAATTTACCCAGCGTTTTAAAAAAAAGCCCCTCCAGTGATTCTCAGGCATACCAACGTTTCAGAAGCTCTGGTACTAGCTCTAAGAGCTCAGGACCTAGACCACTCTTTGAGTAGCAAAGGTGAGGTGGTCTGGACCTGCAGCAGCGGTCTCCTGGGAGCTTGTTAGGAGGGAAGACTGTCCGCTCAGCAGCCCAGACCTACTGTCACTGAATGTGCGTCTTAAGATCCCCGAAAGATTCAGTCATGCATTAAACGTGTGAACACTACTTCTGGACTCCGGTATCTTTGAGGAAGCTTTACAACCTACTGATACCTGGGCCCCACCCAGAAATTACCCTGCACTTTATTCTGAGGTGCGGCAGCCCTGGCATAGGGAGCTCATAAACGTTCAGGTTAGTTTAATGATCAGCCAAAAGTGAAGGATGATTGCCCCCCCCCAAATCATAGTTATTTATCATTCAATTGGATTTCTGTGGGTTTACCCAGGACCCTAAGGATCGTTTAGAGTAAACAGTGTTTTTTTAAGGGACAATGGACACTGCAGACACGTCCGACCACAGAGCTGCAGGTTTACCAACATGAGAACGGAGACTTCCTGCCCCTTCCAGCGAGCAAGCCGAGCGCAGCGCCGGCCCTCGGCCCCGGGGGCCCCCACCTCTGCCCCGCCCGGCTCGCGCCCCCTCCCCGCCCCTCCTAGTCCGTGACGTGCCGCAGCGGTCCGGGATCATGCGCACTGGCGCCCCGCTCCCGCTCGGCTGCTCCGCCTCGGCGCCTGTCATTCTCCGCGGCGCGGCGACCAGTGCGGACTGCGGTCCCCGCCTGCTCGCTCGCCTGCTGGCGCGCCCGCAATGTGACCGACCGACTGGGGGCGAGTTGGCAGCTCTGTCCGCAGCAGCACAGCGGTTTCCCTCGTGCCGGATTTCTTGTTGAGCCGAGATTGCCTCGCCGTCGGAGACTCGCGCCAGGGGCTCGGAGCGCCACGCTCCGGGGACAGCGGCTGGGGGCCGCGCGTGGGCGCCC